CGAATAAATAATTATACACACACACACACACACACACACACACACACACACACACACAACTAGATTGACACAAGGTTGCTTATGTTGACCTAACTTTTTAGTGTAGAACAGGCCTGAGATGGCCAAGAATATCGAAACTTCCAATTCAGGATTAAGAGGAAACAGCTTTTTAGCCCTGCACTTTTGCCATGTGATCACTTCACACAGGTTTCAAAAGTAATGGTGTGATGATGTTTCCAAAACTATTGTCAAGGAATGGTTTATTCTTGTAAAGATTTTAATTAGATAGTTAAATGCTATTGTAAATAAGGTACTAAAAGTTTCTTCTGTTAAACACCAGGTTGTTTAGACCACGTACAACTCCTGGAGAGGACGCATAAGCCAACTTTGGTACCAGAGAGAAATGTTCATTAATATGCCTGTCTCAAGACTTTCAAAGGGAATTGGTGGGTTTATAACAAATACTGATATTTTAAATTACACTATAATGGAAGAAAAGGGAAGTTGATAGTAATACATATAAATCAGAAGCTAAGAATTGTAGAAAATTGATAAGAGAAGCAAAGGGACACAAATCAAAATCTATGGCCAGCAGAGTTAAGGACAATAAGAAGGAGATTTTAAAATTATATTAGGAACAAAAAGAATCCTGACAATGGTACTAGTCCATTACTAGATGAAAATTGTAATTTATTATTATTAATCATAATAATAATGATAATAATAACTCCCAATGTGGAGATTCAGAGGCCTGAATCTGGTTATGTAGCAGTAAAGACAGCATAAGGGTGCTCCGGTACCTGATAGATTTCTGCTGCAGGAACCATGGATAAACTAATCTAGCCCTATGGGCTACAGGTGTCAACCCACTGACATCACCAGATTTTCAGCCACTCAGGCACTCTCCTTTGGGCTATGTCAGCCCTATCTTTGTCTTGCAGTTTAACAGTAGGTGCATCCCAGTCCCCAACTCACTTCAAATTGTTCCCTGGTGATACTCAGCCCCTGACACTTGCTACTCACTGAAATCCCAAAGCCTCTGCCCTCAAAGGAGCAGGGCACCACAGTTTACCAGTTTTACTTTAAACTGTCCCTCCTGTAAACACACAGTGCTTGTGAGCACTTAATAAAATAAAAACAGATTTATTTAAGAAGGAATAGTGATTTAACTAGAAACATGAGAAAGTGGTGGAAATAAATGGTTCCAATACAAAACAAAATAATAAAATGTGAGCCTGGGCCTACAGTTAGTAGTAGTTACCTTTCCTACCTAATAAAGTAGGTTCCCCTCCCCCCAAGTTCAGTCTGTTGAAGTGCTGACTGGCTTCAAAGAAACTAGGATCCAAACAGTCATGAAAATACCACTGCCCCACAAGCAGTTTCCTCACTGAAAGGATCCAGAGTGCCTC